TTTCTGATGTCAGATTTGTGTCCATTAATTCTTTTGCGTAGAGACTGTCCGGTTTGGCCAATGTACATGGCAGAGGGGCATCCGAAGAAGTGGGCTGTAGCCCACGAAAGCTTATGCTCTAATCAAGTTTTTTTTCTCTTACTTAATTGGCCTCTCAGAGTTGGTAAGACAACTCCCACCTGTTTATGCTCTCTGTATGTGTGTATATATAATCTCCTCAATATTTATTCCACTCTATATGCATCCGAAGAAATGGGCTGTAGTCCACAAAAGCTTATGCTCTAATAAATTTGTTAGTCTCTAAGGTGCCACAAGTACTCCTGTTCTTTTTGCGGATACAGACTAACACGGCTGCTACTCTGAAACCTGTCACCTCAGGAAAGCAGACCACAAGTGACAAAGGACAGAGCTACATCCAGTATTGCTGCCCACATGCTGCTCTGCACAATGAAATACATAAAAGGTCTGGTCCTCGTTCTTTGCAGACCTAAAGCTCCTACTGAAGTCAATGGGCGTTATGCGCATGCAAATACAGGATCAAGTCCAAAGCGTATTTGTGCCACAAACAACACTATTTCAATGTGAGACTCGGACAACTACAAACAACCCCAGGCAGCTGCATACGTCAATTTAGCAAGACTTAAGTCCCCCTTTGAAATCGGTTGCTAAGAGATTATCAGAGAGTCAGAAGGAGAAATGTTCTGTTATGGCAGATTCTGAACGGCGGCATTTTATTATTCCTTAGGACGAGCAATGTAAATAATTTCATTACAGTGTCAGACTAGTGCACTTAGGTGCCCCCACCCCCAAGTCAATCAGAAACTTCAGCACATACACCAAGTCTTCTGTGCACTTCAGGCCCCTCTTTATCGGCTGGAGATGATAAAGTCTCTTTCGACTCAATCCTGAAGCAATGCTAATTGACAGGGGACCGTATCCCAAGAAGTGGGCAGGAGTTATGGCTGCCCCTTCTACCTGGCAGCAGGGATGGGGGGCAGTGCCTTTCCTTTGCCGAGATGCATCTCAGTTGCTGCTCCTGAGTTATCAGGTAGCAACAGCATGCCACAGTGGTGCTCTCTCTGCAGGTGGCCCAGAGAGAAAGATGGCCTAGTGGTTAGGGTGCTAACCTGGGCTATTGGAGACCCAAGTTCAATTCTCCACTCTGCAACAGACTGTGTATGGAACCTTGGCCAAGTCACTTGGCCTTTCTTTGCCTTCTGTCTCCTATCTATAGAATTGGAACAACAGCTCTGCCCTCCCTCCCAGGAGTGTTGTGAGGATAAGAACATCAAAGACCATGAGAAGCTCAGATACTGTGGTGACAGGGGACCTGTAAGTACCTACATTACAGAGCTGGCTAAGAGGCTGTAGCCTTTCCTCTCTGATCCAGATTCTGCCACAGCCCTGCCTTTGTCACTCTATAATACGCTATACCAAAGGCTACCCAGCGGGCACCACAGAGAGGCTTCAGCTAGCACTGGGAGGTGCTGCCCATTCCAAGTAAGCAGGCAGGCTTCTGCGTCACCCTCATGCTGGGCTTTGCTGGATGTCCCTTCACTTTGGGATGAAATTCCAAGGGCTGGTGGTCACAATCTACAGAGCCTACAAGGTCTAGTGGCAGATTAGTAAAGAAGTCACCTCTATCTTTATGCCCCATCATGTCTCAACTGCTGTCAGTTCCTGGAACAGATGGCTTCAGGGTTTGCTCAGTGCAGCGCCCTTTCCTCTGCCAATTCACCAGGCTTCAGGGCACAATATAAAGCATGCCTGTTAAACAGGCGTTTGGATGAGTTTTCACATGGCATAGTGGAAAGATGTGCCAGCTAAGGACAGCAGCCACTGGGTGAAAGCAGCAAGTGCCCTCAGACCTCTGTAGACAGGTGGCGGTGTTTGTTAACTGCAGTGAAGTAATGCAAGGATCCCAGACAATTTATCCTTGACCTACATGTCACCAAACCGGAAACCTTTACATTATCAGAGCGGCAACTATACCCTCTTCCCCAGACCTCTCACTGAAGGGACATGCCAGCAGCTCTGCAATGCTCCTGGCACCAACAAGAGAAGCACCAAATTCAGATGTCACTGAGACTCCTGAGTGAAACATTAAGATCCTGAGCACACGAGCTATGAGTGAAAGAGCAGTCTGTTTCCTTGCTCTCACATACATTAATAATTAGGAGGCTAGACCTTTGATTAGCTCCATGGTGTAAGAGTTCAACATGGCAACAAGATGAACACACAAGCTTCCGATTGGTTCTGCCAGGTGAGACTTTATTGCTAGAGCCCCTTGGAAGCCAGGAATATTCTTGTAACATTACATAAACGAGGAAAACGGCTTATTTCTCTTCCAACTGCCGCTTCAGTTACTAGGGAGTTTCTGCAGCGTTTGCAGAGTGCACAAAATGAAGTAATTCAGAGAACAAGCAAGAGGACAATGCCAACTCAGGGCAGGGCTGGAATGCAGGAGTGAT